TCCCTTATTCGGTTTATTCAACACAGGTAAAGGCTTCCCCTGTGCATGATGTCTGATTATTGTCACTGACTAATTACAGCTGAGCTGTGCTTCCTTGAGTGCACACAGCGAGATGTGAAGAACAGTAGAGTATTATGCATTCTGCCACATCCTATGAATAATCTAGAGGAGTCCCAGCAGTCAGCTGCAGTGCTTCTAATTGGGTTCCTGATTTAAAACGTCTACAGCCAAATTCCCCTTGGAATGGAGATCAGCTCTCAGGAAGACTCGGAAGACACATGGGAGTCAGATGACTCGGATTGGATAGATAAACATGGAGAATTTTGTCTCTTCGGGTAAACAAAACCTTCCCAGCATACTCTCATTGTCACAAGGAATGCCTTTGCTTGATGTTGTTTGGCCAAGGGCTTCAGTGATAATGGACCAATCAGAAAAGGTATGGAAACATGGATATTTTTCTCCATTTCACTGTGTCAGTGTCATTCTCGGTCAATATTAGAGACCATTATTTCCTCTTGATGGATATACAGGCAAACAAAAAGCCATGTTTGCCACTAACATCTGTACTTACAAATGAAAACAGAAATCTCTGTTATATACTTTAAATTACAAACAACTGCATCACCTACTCTAGGTGATCACAATTAGGACATTATTGTGGACAGTTCATCTGTGAATGTTGTTCAAAAGAAAAATGTTTGTTTAACCCTTGATGAAAATGTAGCTTGCTCCGTTTCTGAAACGACTTTCCCGTATTGATATAATTTAGTCCATGCAGACTGCAGGATAGTGTTAAAGGGGTCATGTGATGCTGCTAAAAATAACATTATTTTGTGTATTTGGTGTAATGAAATGTGTTTATACGGTTTAAAGTTCAAAAAACACATTATTTTCCACATACTGTACATTATTGTTTCTCCTCTATGCCCCGCCTTTTTGAAACGCGTCGATTTTTACAAAGCTCATCAGTCTGAAAAAGCGAGGTGTGCTCTGATTGGCCAGCTATCCAGTGCGTTGTGATTGGCCGAATACCTCAAGCGTGAGACGGAAATGTTACGCCCCTCACATACTGTTGATGCCGTGTCCGGCCGGAGCGACGAGACAAAAACATTAAAACCCATTACAAACGAGGCATTTGTTGCATCCAGTGGGGACATAATTACTGATTATAATAACTTATACTGTCTTTTTACGCGTTGCATTGCATCGCGCCGCGTAAACATAAACCTCTGTCTGCATTTGTGATCGGAGAAATGCCAAACAAGTGCTACTCTACACTGCCCAAAACTCGCGTTTGAATCATCAGTGGCAACGAAAAAACAGCGGCCTACCGTGAGGGGAAGCCCCTGCTTAGAGTGCACTGAGGCCAGGATAGATTGCGCTGAGGCGGGCTGGATTCCGCTTCGTCCACGGTGAAAGTTGATGTTTTACCCAAAAATGAAAATTGACTTGCAGTTGGGCCATCTAAGATGGATAAATGAGTTTTTTTGATTTGAAGAAATTTAGCATTATATCACTTATTTTCCAATGGACCCTCTGCAGTGAATGGGTGCCGTCAGAATGAGAGTCCAAACAGCTGCTAAAAACATCACAATAATCCAAAAGTAATCCACACAACACCAGTCCATCAACTGACATCTTGTGAAGTGAAAAGCTGCATTACAGTTTTTTTTGGACCCATATGACTTCTGTAGTATGGAAAAAATACTGACAATAGGACCACCAACTGTTTGGTTATACATTCTTTAAAATATCTTCTTCTGTGTTCAGCAAAATTCATAAATGTTTGGAACAACTTGAGTGAGTAAATGATGACAGAATTTTCATTTTTGGGTGAACTATTCATTAACAAAGCTTGCATGGATACTTTTTCCTTATTTTACAGTGTCATTGTCATTCTCCGTCAATAGCGACCACTGTTATTTGCTCTTGAGGAAAGCCATGTTTGCTACAAGAGTACTAGATGACACAATGTGAAAATCTGCATTTGCATTGTGAAATAAAGTACATATGCTGATAAAAATGTGTTAAAGCTGCACAAGTTAGTCACGGTTATTTTAAAGTAATTTAAACGGCCAGAGGTCACAAAACTAATCTATCTTGTGTCTGTGTTTCTGCAGACACTCTCTCCTTTCACTGTCTACTTTTCTACCAGTAAATGCAACTCCAGGTAGTCCTATTCTTCCTTTTGTGAAAGACAGAGCTCATCTCCCTGAGAGCGACTATAACATGCCGTGACACATCTTTCCATTGCTATGGTAACGGCACTGAGGTGTAGATGAAAAGAAGTCAGACCAATGTGCTGTTACACAAGAACATTAGTTCAGGACTAGGTCAGAATGGCCCGCTATTGGTGATCCATTCACCCACTAAGGCAGTCTGATGAAAAATGACACTCACATTACACTATGTGAAGTACCTGAGCTTTAGTTGTCTCTCTGAATAAGTCACATTTCTGAGCTCGAAATGTTGCAGCCTGCATCTTTGGCAAGTAAACTTCTCATTTCGCTTTTTTACTAGTTGATAGCAAGGTCATTGACATAAGAGTGTCCACTAAACGATTTCAAAAATCTATTTCTGGAGAGTTCTAAGCAATAAATATCATTTGGTTCTAAGGGAGTCACACCACATCACATCTGATATTCTTGATATTTTTATTTTTATTAATTGTATATATATATATATATATATATATATATATATATATATACACACAGACACACACACACACAGCGCTTTATATATATATATATATATATATATACACACAGACACACACACACACAGTGCTTAAATGTTTTTATTTTCTAATAAATCATAATAAAATATTGTGCATAACTAATTAATAACTTGTCAATTTCTTTTCAAAATTTTCATTCTTTTTAATGAGGCTTTTTCTTCACTATGATATCAAGACAGTTGTATCACCCTGATATTTTGACTTCATTCTGACCCCCCAAAATATAAAAATATATCTGATTAAGAACTTAAAAAAACATGTTAATCATAGAATCATGTACTGCATATATAAATTGAATTTTGAATATATTTTTGAATAAATTAATAGATCCTGACAAAAAAAAAAAATGATTGACCTAGGGATCTATTCATTCTGAATGCATGGAATTTTCATAGAAGACTGTACAGTCGCAAGTTGTCAAATTTCTTATCCAGTGAATATTTCTCAGTATAGGTTTAGTTTCGAATGTCAATTTCTGTATAGACATAAACCTGTCTAGAAAAAAAAAAAGAACTGTCATCACAAATCTTATATAAGCAAGGTCCATGAGAAATAAGATATCAGAGAGACTTGTATACTGCACTGTCTGAGCAATTGCTTGCTCCTGATAAATGTAGATCTGATTACTGACGATGTCTATTAATTTAATGGAAGTCAGATAGTCATCAAATGCCTTTGTATAACTCCATATTATTGAAACAGCTGATTCATTGTTGTGGACTGAGGATTCATCAATACGATAATGGTTCTTAGAACAGAAAACACTGCAGTGCGTTCAGTCTAGAGGAATGTACAATATCTTTATTGCCTTGCACAAAATGCATCAAAGCATTCACACCCACTGATCGAAAATACAAGTACTGTAGATCAAGACAGAAACCCATTCACATTGAAATGCAACAGCAATCAGAACAAGAACATTAACGTATTGAAATTTTTTTGTTTGTTTGTTTTTTTGTCTTGCTCTATAGCCTTTGTGTTTAATAAAGCCTCATGCACTTAAAAGGAACAGTTGAGGAAGAAGAAAACACATAAGAAAGCATGATAATTAAGTGTTGATTGTATTTCAATCACGTTGTGATCATAATAAAGGTCACAGAACAGATGATATGACCCTGTTAGTGAAGAGAGAAATTATATACAAACTTAAACCAGGGTAATATGGCACAACTTCATGCAGTTCATCAATACAGTGCAAACATTAAAGAGCCATATAAATGTGGAAACACAGTAGTGCAAACACCAAGCCAATGAGCACTAGCATGACATTATTCTGGGGAAACCCGACAAAGAGTAATTGAACATCTATACTGACAAAGGAAAACAGAAATCTCTTGTTATATACTGTAAATTACAAACACCTGCATCACCTACCATTAGGACAGGTACACTTAAAGGAACAGGTCACCCAAAAATGAAAAATTTCTGAAAACTTACTCACCCTCAGGCAATCCAAGATGTAGATGAGTCTGTTTCTTGATCGGAAAAGATTTTAAGAAATGTAGCATTACATCACATAATCACCAATGCATATGAATGGGTGCCGTCAGCCGTCAAACAGCTGATAAAAACATCACAATAATCCACAAGTAATACACACAACTCAAGTCCATTAATTAATATCTTGGAAAGTGAAAAGCTATGTGTTTTAAGTTATAAATCCATCATTGAGCTGTTTTAACTTTGCTAAGCATTGCTTCTGGCCAAAATACCAGTCCATAATCCATAATAACACTTGAAAAATCCATCCCCTGTTGTCCTCTCACATGAAAATCCACCGACATATTTTTTTTTTCGAATCATTTTCACTTGTAAACGGTGGTTGATCTGTGCATATTTCTCTCCTGATTTAGACAAGATGACTTTTTCCACTGGAGAAAGCAGTATGGTGGAGAGAGGACTCAAAGCATCAGTTTAAAGTTACATTCATCTAAAAGATGGATTTGTTTATTACAAACACACAGCTTTTCGTTTCATAAGACATTAATTGATGGACTGGAGTCATGTGGATTACTTGTTGATTACTGTGATGTTTTTATCAGCTGTTAGAACTCTCATTGTGACGGCACCCATTCACTTCTAAATAATGCTACATTTCTCCAAATCTGTTCCGATTAAAAAACTCATCAACATCTTGGATGGCCCGAGGATGAGTTTTTTCTTGAACTATTCCTTTAAAAGTCAACATGAAATCAAAACAGACTGCATTTACTTTCTTAATGCACATTCATGCTCTTATTATGAATGATTAATCTGTAAATGTTATTTAAAAGAATAGTTTGAAAAGGTTTGTCTTTGTAACCTTTGATGAAAATGTGATAATTTGTTCTTCCTCTGAAATGACTTTTCTGTGTTGATCAATAGTGGATGGTGTTAGCCAGTGACTGAATAGCTATTGTTTTAGCAACTTCATATTCGTTATTGCTCCATTATGTCAAATATGTCACATTCTGGAAGTAAATTATTTGTCAAATTCGAATTTGGCAAATAAAAATCATTTTAAAGTTGTGGAAAGAGTCAGTTCAGCAGAAATACTATTTAAATTACAAATGGACTGTCTCTAAAAACGTTTGGTCATAGTGATGTAATGTCACTTTTGTAAACTCTTCATTTTTCCTTGTCCTTCAGGAGCACCATCTCCATTAAAACCAATGGATTTGCAATGTTCTCTGCAAGAACTATTGCACTGAGTTTCACATTTGGATGTAATGACCTTTGTTCAGTAAACAGGTAAAGTCAAAAACCATACATCTGAGGATCCCTGTCATTCATTTAAAAAACATATTAATATTCTGGACAAACAAGCCTTTATTTATTTATATGATCAGAAATAAAGGATGCATTTTAATCTATCTGTTAAACTAATCTTTTCCTTCTTCTCATGTGCTCAGTGTTGAACTTTGCCCTTAGAAATGGGTCCCCTGTGTTAGGGGATTACAAAGAGGCAGAGGGTGTTACTGATTGGTGTAGGAGATGGGCCCACCATAATTTCCCACCTGGCTGTACTCTGATTGGGCGAAATCCCCTGTTCCAGTAAAAGCACCTCCTGATTGATCAAAGCTTCCCTGATTGTAGACCTGCTGGTTGAAGGCCGTGGCTTGTTTTTCTGAGGATGAGGCAGGGTACCTTGCTGCACCTCCCTTGTGCCATCCAGTCTCTTTAAACACAAACCAGATGTTTCCAGCCCAAAGCACGAAGTTCAAATAACCGAATACCTGTGCAAAAAATGCCTTGATGAATACAAGATGAACATAGTTTTATTCCAAAGCCTTTTGAATAAAATCGAAGAACTTCAGCAGTTGTACAAAATATTAAATATTTAAATATGATTAAAATGTATTAAATTATTAAATGTGTTAAAGATTAAAATTTAAATATTGCATATTATAATTACAATTTACATTTAATATTTAAAGTTTTTAATATATTTTTCACACGAGCGTTCAGAAATCATTCCATTGCACTGATTTGGTGCTCAAGAAATTTGTATATATATATATATTATATATAATTGTTTGTAACAATGTAAAGGTCTTTACTGTCACTTTTGATCAATTTAATGCATCCTTGATACAAAAGCATTTTTTAATTTAATTTCTTTTACAAAATTGTTTTACTGGCCCCAAAATTTAAATGGTAGTGTATTAATTTTAAAATAACTAATAAAATACATACAAGTCTTAAACACATTTAAATTAAATAAATCCAAATATATATATTTTTAATTTGTCAAATCACATGCAGCATGTGATTTTTTTCATATCATTATTAAGGGTTGCAAACTGAAGATTAGACACTGAAATACAACTAATATATGTGGCTCGGTTGGTGTAATCTGAGTATCTCATGCCTTACCACAGATGTGTTCAGGCCAGACCATCTGGGTCCATAAACTGAGCTGCACTTGTTGGTCTGCACCTTACATGCAGACATGAGCAGAACCACCTCATCTGGATCAGTTGCCGCCTTTACATCTGAAAGACCTTTTGCCCAGGCAGATGAGCTCACCAGCCACATAAATGAGAACACCACCGTCACTATGAAGTCCTGCAGAGCATCAAGATGTACATGTGTCACATGTATTTCTGATCAAATTCGGTTGGCAATATGAAGAAGAACTTTTTTTAACATTAAAAGAATTACACACTTCAGCTCTACACTCAACTACAATGATTTGCATGCAAGGATGAATTACTGTATGCTAAGTAGGACTACATTTAATGTGGGTGTTTTACAGTATAAATCGCTCATCTTCTCTAATTGCGGGGCTTTGAACAAAGTCCACAAAGATTCAAGCATTTAGCTCATCTAAAATAACACCAGGGCTCACAATGAGAGGTCCACGGTTGTTTTCGCGGTACTTGTTCTGGAAAAAGATGTAGACCACAGTGGCCAGCAGGGAGTACAGAAAGGAAAATACAGCAATGGTGACGAAGAACTCGGCAGAGGAGGAAAAGTCTCCAATCAGGTAAAGCCGCTCTTGCCTCCTTCCCTCACACATCGGCACGTCAAATTCCACCCGGTTCAACCTGTTTCATGTAAGGCACAAAAACTTCATACTTTTTTATACAATTTGCAGTTAGGTAAGCTATTCTATAGTGTCAGCATCAGTCTAGCACAGGGGTAGGAGGTTGGAGCTGAACTCTGCAGGACTGCGGCTCTCTAGGACCGAACTTGCCTACCCCTGGTCTAGCATAACGTTAAAGGAGAAGAACACTGGATAGTAAGATATTTCGTTTCTGTCATAAGGTTACTTTAGTTCCTGTCTATTTCTGCCTTGTCCTCCTTTGATAACTATGAAGTTGAAGCTCAGCTCTAGTGAATACAGTGAGACCTGAGGGCTACTTCAAAGCATCACATTGTTGTGGGCATCTTGTGTGTGTGATAATAGTTTGACCTTTTAGGGCAAAACAACAACAGCAACTTGGACACATAGTATTTGAGACTAAAAAAGAATTACAGTCTGTCAAAAACATTTCCAGTCTACGCAGAATTATAGTGGTGATTCATTACAGAACTCTATTGTCTTCTGTTATTTAAATTGACAGCATATGACTGTATGTAATTCTATTACCACAATGGATAACAATGAAGACAGACCTGATGTGTGATTCTAGTGTATGTGTCAGCCAATTCATTTATTGAGCACAAATGAGTGAGTGTGTTTCTGTCTCTCAGAAAGAATTTCTCATCTCTGAAATTGCTGAATAAAATGTATATTTAAAACAGAACTGTAAAAGAATACTGTGAGATACTTGAAATGGAAGAAGATATGGCTTAGGTCGTGAAAACACTGAATGAACGACTTAGGCTCACTGATTCACTACAAGAACTGATTCAGTATTTTCTCCTTTTTTATTTGATAACTATGTATACTGCATACAAAACATCACAATATAAAAATAAAATAAAACTTTGTTTTACATTTAATTTTAATTATTTGTTTAAAAAACCCTACAGAATAATTTTAAATAATTTAAAATTTAAATAAATTAGAATGAAAGTATTATTTAAACAATACATTTGTTATCACCCATTTTAGACATGTATGTATGTATGTATATATAAATAATGTACCAGTAAATATAGATCAGGACAGAATGTCAGACATAGCAACAGAGGTGTTTATCATCAACTTTGACATGTGTATGAAGCTATGGTGAATGAAACAATATCTGAGTATTATACTGAACCCGAACATCTGCCCAATTAGCACAATCAACTAATTAAAAAAAAAAAAACCTCTAATGCTGTCTTGTTTAAAACAAGATTGTCTCTTGCTCACCAAGAGACAATCTTTTAACTGACAGCACACATAGAGAATATAAAGATAAAACCATTACCACATAATCAAATGCTCCTGCGTATTAGAGTATTGAATTAAAGCCAGGTAATTTTCTCTCTCTCTTGCTCTGCAGAGAATATGCAGGGGTGCTTTAAATTAGCCTTACCTGAATGGGTAAGCAAAGTTGATGCCAATACTGAGGTTGCTGTCGGACTTGTTGATGCAGTCCACACTAACCCGCAGTTGCCCAGAGTAGCCTCCACATGTTGCAAATGCAAAGATGGCAAAAAGCTGAGGGGATATAACATGCACAACTGTTATTATTTGTAAGAATTGTGACATTTTTGTTTCTCATCAATATATGAAAATATATATTAATTTGGGAAAAATGCTGGTTTCTGCGGGTTACATTATTACGCCAGTAGGTGTCGCCAAGTGACTATCTTTACAAGTGAGTCGTTCGTCGGTTAATTCAATTCATTCAACCGATTCTTTCAAAACCAATGATTCATTCTGTATTTGAGTGAATCATGGAGTCACGCACTAAAGCGATTTGTTCTGATTCATTTGAAAGAAACACCACTTCTGTGTGTTGTAACCTTCATCTGCACTGACTTTGTTTGGAACCACTTTCGAAACTATCAATCCACCTTATTTTCAACGCGGAAGTAAGTCGTTTTCTGTGAATGTGCGAGACTTCCTGTTCATCATTACTTTACTTTACTTTATGCATTTAGCAGACGCTTTTATCCAAAGCGACTTACAGTGCATTCCAGCTATACATTTTTAGCAGTATGTGTGTTCCCTGGGAATCGAACCCATGACCTTTTGCGCTGCTAACGCAATGCTCTACCACTGAGCCACAGGAACACATTAGCTGTAGGAACACTAGCTCATTAGCTGCTGAAGAGAAACAACTAGAAGAATATCAAAGTGCAGTAAACAGTAAAACCAGTGTGTTTATAATTAAGACAATAAATTAGAATAATATGGCGAAAAAATTCCAGTTTGCAGTTTCAAGCAGCACAACGAGCAGTTTTGTACAGCTTAAAATAACTGGAAGCAATGACACCGGAAGCCAGACACAAATTTACAAATGGCCGCGTCCGTTCTAATGTGAAAATACTGTGTAAAATGTAAATTATTATTAATTATTAACTTGTTTACTGAACAGTTAAGGAATCTAACATCAGGAATCTAACATATTCATCAACAACGGGGCACTAGGGGGTGGGTGCTTGTTAATACAAATGATCCAGTTGTTACAAATATACAATTAAAAGAGAAGACAGCACAATCTGTAATAATTTCAGACTTTATTGTAGATGTTTTGATAAGGGTGGGCTCTCCCTCACTCTCTGAGCCTGCTTCTGCCTCATCTTCAATGGAAGTAGGGGAGAGAGGGGGAAGTTGAGCCAGTGGGTAAGTTTACCCATCCCCTATATCTTGGCAACTGTACACTTTTACTTGACCATGTATTTGGAACCACCCATCATTTCTGCCAGACTGTGAATGGAAGGCACCCATTTACTTTAAAAACTGTTTTTGGCTTGTCAAAGTAAAATTTTAGCATAACAGATGTAATGGTTGTTACATTAAAGCAAATTTGTCCAGGTCTAAAAGTATTTATGATACATATAGGTGATTTAGCAA